TTTTTCCACAGACTGGGGGCAGGGGGCATGGTTGTGGGATGATTCAAGCGCATTGCATTTCTTGTGCAGTCAAACCTCCCTGCTAATGATAATCTGTATTTGCAGCACTAGTATCTCCGCCTCAGCTCCACCTCAGATCATCAGGCATTAGATTCTCATAAGAAGCACGCAACCTAGATCCTTCGCATGCGCAGTTTACAGTAGGGTCCACACTCCTATGAGAGTCTAATGCCACTGCTGATCTGACAGGAGGCAGAGCTTATGCGGTGATGCAAGTGATGGGGAGAGTCTGTAAATAGAGATGAAGCTTCACTCGCTTGCCTCCTGCTGTGTGGCCCAGTTCCAAACAGGCCACAGATCGGTACTGGTCCACGGCCCAGGGGTTGGGGACCACAGGCTTAGAGAAATTAAGTGATTTCACAGTCCCAAAGCCAAGGCTCTGAGGAGGACCTTCTCTTCTAAGTCTCACCCAAGCTGCCTTCCCTGATGCCAACACACAGAGCCTTCATCTGCAGTGCTTGCGCCTCGGCACCCTTCTGACCCCTCCTTCCTCTGCCCTAAGCCCAAAGGGTGTCTCTTTTTTTTTTTTTTTTTTTTGAGACAGAGTCTCACTCTGTTGCCCAGGCTAGAGTGCCGTGGCGTCAGCCTAGCTCACACCAACCTCACACTCCTGGGCTCAAGTAATCCTTCTGCCTCAGCCTCCCGAGCAGCTGGGACTACAGGCATGTGCCACCATGCCCGGCTAATTTTTTTCTATATATTTTTAGTTGTCCGATTAATTTCTTTCTGTTTTTAGTAGAGACGGGGTCTCGCTCTTGCTCAGGCCGGTCTCGAACTCCTGAGCTCAAACAATCCGCCCACCTCGGCCTCCCAGAGTGCTAGGATTACAGGCGTGAGCCACCGTGCCCGGCCCCAAAGGATGTCTCTGCACACTCAGACTCAGAGAGTGAGTGCCAGGGCTCAGGCAGTCTCTGTCCCCCATTACGCATGTCAGGGCCTTCCTGTTGAGAACCTCTCACTGCCGGTCACTTCAAGACACCAAGATGTGGGTGTGGAAAGGGTTCCCTTTGACCTATGGCTTCAGGGCCAAAGCCCTTAGCCTTTGACATCATTATCATCTCCTGGTAGGTTGTTGCAGTACTCAGCCTGTTTTATATTAGGTAAGAATTTTCCAGCTATGAACTGGTAGATAATGTAAAGACATGCAGGACACAGGCTGGGCAAAGTGGCACACATCTGTAATCCCAGCACTTTGGGAGGCCGAGGTGGGAGGATTGCTTGTGGTCAGGAGTTCGAGACTAGCCTGAGCAAGAGCAAGACCCGGTCTATTAAAAATAGAAAAATTAGCCAGGTGTGGTGGGGTACTCCTGTAGTCCCAGCTACTCTGGAGGCTAAGGCAGAAGGATCCCTTGAGCCCAGGAGAGTTTGAGGTTGCAGTGAGCTATGATGACACCACTGCACTCCAGCCCAGGGGACAGAGTGCGACTCTTTCTCAAAAAAAAAAAAAAAAAAAAAGACATACAGGACACACATGCTTCACAGACATTACACTGGTTCTAAATAGTTCTGCCTGAGTTTGGTCCTTCTTAGTCTGGCTCCATAGATCTTATATCTGTGTGTGTGTCACTGAGGAATTAAAAAGCCAAAAAAGAAATTATAATTATCTATTACATGTTAGGCACCAAGTTGGACACTTGGGAAATACCTAAGTTATTTAACACATGGTCCCTACATTCAAAGAGCTCACAGAAAGGTGCAGAGGAAACAAAGATTTAAGACAGTGCACATTCCAGCCAAGTGCCGCAGACTAGAGGAACCAGGAACTGGAGAGGAGGAGGCAGCGATCAGCGGCGGGAGGCAGAGCAGACTGAGGGAGCTGGATGCAGGGAAGCAGAGAAGAGTTTAGAGGGAAGGGGAGGCCACAGGCAGCACAAGCAAGAGGAACAGCGGGAATAGGACATGCACGTACTCGTTCGGTGTTTACTGAACACCCTTGCTCTAGTTTCTTGGTCCTTGCCACAAAACTCCTTCCACCAGATGAGACCCCAAAAGGTCTCACTCACAACACTAGCCCTACAAGGTGTAGCTTGAAAAAAAAAAAAAATCTGTGCCCAAGAAGGCCTGAGAACGCTGCATAGCACACCCCTCTCCACAGACCAAGCTGTATCTATTAGCATACTACAGGCTCTGAAAACTCCTGCAGTAAAGAAATCTTTTCGATGTTGTTTAACTCAGAATTTCCCAAATTTGCTTGACCACCAGAGCCCTTTTTTATGCTTGACACCTATTTCCATCCTGAGAAACTACTGTGCCAGGGCACATACCTTGGGAGACACTGCCTTGTGCCAGGTCCCTGTAGCTAGGCAGGAGAGGATGGGAATGGGGGGTGGTGACAGAAATGCCCACAGGAGTAAACTCTTGCTGGACGAGGCGGTGGCAGTGACCATGGAAAAGCAGCCTGCTGTCAGAAGAGTCAACAGAGCCTGGCACAGGATCATAAGGAACCAGTCAGTGATGCCACCTCATTGGTCAGCTAACCTCAGTGCAGACAATATTACTACGGCAACAAACCAATGACATACACGTGAGGCACTGACAAGTCTGTAGGATAAACCTACCCAAAGAATATATGAGCACGCTCCCGGCATTTCACATTTCTATTGTTCAAAATCTCTTACTTGAGGGGAAGTCTCATGTGTCAGATTATAATCTATGTTGTCTGTAAAGCAGATCTCAGCCTTCTCTTTTCTTTTCAAATTTAGGATTATGGTTCATGACGACTGCTCCCGGTCACCCAGGACTTACAATTCACAGGGAGCGTGGACGCCTGCCCTCCCCCATCCCAGAGAAGGCAAGATTTTAAGAGGCTCCCTGAGGTGGCAGAGCCTGACAGGAAACCCAGGCTTCCATTTTTCCATGTTCCTTCCTCTCTACTTGTGGAATCCAAATAATTCTAGCTTTCTGGGACAGCCCTCATCTCAGATATCCTATTATCCTTCCCAAACCATCAAAACATCCCAGAAATCATGCTTTGTGATCCAACTCATCTTTCCATCCTGGAAGGGGGCACAAAGATCTTTTTGTTTTGTTTGGCTCAAATTCCTTTGGGTAAACAGACAACTTAATAGATCACAAGATTTTCAGAAAACTTTCAATGATTATTTGGAAAATCTATATATGGCAATAGAATATGCTAAATAGTTCTCGTCCATCCGGATCAAAACAAGTATATATGACTAGAACAAGAAACGTTCTTTTGGGGTGAAAGAAAACCTTCTTAAGGCAATTTAGCATAGAATCACTGTCACTAAAATTCCAAGTATGTAATACGGTGCTCTTAGCAACGGCATCCTTGAATGGATAGAAACACACACATACTCTAAAATGGCAGACAAACACAACAAATCATTTATTTTGGCTTTGAGCTCTATTTCTCTACTTAAATACAGCTCAGTTTGCAGCCTAGAAGAAACAATTTCTCCCCGATTAATAAAACCATATTTGGACAGCCATGCTATTGCATTCCTCCCACACCACCTCCTCCCTGCCTGTGCTCCGGAACAGCCTCCAAGTGAGGGCTCCTCTTTCTGATCCCTGCAAACCATCAGCCCAAGCAAGGAGCTGTCTCTGAAGTTTGCAGGTATTCAGGAAGCTTCGGCTATATTATTACATTCAGTTATTCAGCTATAACTGTTATGCATGTGCCAGAAAGAGCATGGGAAAGAGAGGGTCTAATACCACTCTCACCCAGGGGTGGTTCTGCCCTCCCCAGGGGACATTGGGCAATGTCTGGAGATGTTTCTGGATGGCACTGCTGGGGGAAGGGATGCTACTGGCATCTTGTAGGTAGAGGCCAAAGATGCTGCTGACAGTCTGAGAGTGCACAGGACAGCCTCCTATAGCACAGGATTACCTGCTCCAAAATGTCAATAGAGCCAAGGCAAGAAACCTGCATTACATTAACAAGACACACAAGGAAAATGATATATGAGCACTGTCAATAGACCTGAATGATAATTGCAAAAAGTAACTGTGTGATAGGCACTATGGATGCCAATATAGTAAGATAATCTGGACAACCCAGATGACTGCCACACTCTGAAGAATGTTAAGCTCAAAGAGCATCAGCTAGCGTTCAAATCTGTTAACGAATGTGGGTAAGTAAGAATGTACCGGATTAAAGCCATAACAATAGGCCATCATTCTAATATATCGTTTTGTTATCTGAGAGCACAAAATAGTGAAGTAGAACTGTTTTTACTGTCTTTCTCTCTCTCTTTTTAAAAATGGAAACAGCAAATATTTAAACTATAAAAATACACTGAAGGTACCAGTGGGGGAACTCAATCGAATGTGAACACCGAGGAACAGCTCAGAAACTGGAATGATTTCACATGCCCAAGGCAGGCCATGTTAATTCCTTGGCAGTTTATCATGACATAAAGTCCGTCCAGAAACAGGCACTGCCAGACGGCCACCAGGGGGGCTCGGTTCCAATAATGGAACACCTCAGGGTTCTCAGAAACCAGTATTGTTTCAGTGAGCCACGTCGCAAGATTTATCCACACCAGCAGAATTTAAAGTATCATAAAATAGTGGATTTCAAGAGATGTAGCAGTATTTGAGAAAGTGGTTCCTGAAATCAGATATAAACTAGCTCTTGACATAAGATGCAAAGATAGCCACCTTTACTGTCACTTAATTGTTAGCTTGTAGAGATCCCAAAAGGCGCTGCAGGTCACAGAAAGACAAAATAATGAATAACTCAGGTGCGAAGCATCTTTATGCAATGCAGCAAGGAAACGGAGGTGTACAAATGTCAAAAAGCAAGGATGTTAAAAATGTAAAATGCTTCTAACTTTACAGTAAATTTAAAAATTGTGAAAACCAAATCGAAGGCCATTCTGAGTCATTTGCCTCAGACCTGGAGGCTGGTTATTATTGCACATGTTCTACTGCAGAATTAATAAAGTTTTAGAAGTAGGAAAAAAAAAACTAACCTTAAGGTTATCAAAGGTTCTGACAGTCTGCGCCAGGTCACTGACACTCCCTGACGATGCTGTCCCCTGTCCCCTAGGGCCTGAGGACACCTGTGAGCCGTCAATGACCTCAAAGCCAGAAAGCAAGGCCTCTGCACAGCTGCAGCGAGACTCCTTGGCTCTCTGACCCGATATCAGGTATGTCTTCAAACCTACGATGGATAAAAATTACAATCAGCACAGAGTGAAACCACCGTTTGTTGACACACAGCTCGAACTTGCCCTCTAAGGAGGACACGTTCTGGAAAGTTGAGAGTAGAGTGAGAGTGTGAATATCTCATATTTTATGACTGACTTCCATGATCTTCTCAGACAGTTGTAGCCTCAGAGAGACCATTTGCCTCCAAGACACACTGTTTACTCACATTATGTTTTCTTTGAATAATGGCTGCACATTTACCTTCAGGCTTAGAATAAGCATTAAAAAGTTCCTCCGTGGAAGGGCCATGTGACCTCTCTGTGAAGGCAGCAGAGCAGACTGACGCTGAGCTCTACATACTGCTTGGGCTTATTTTGACTGTAAACACCAGTCCCTGACATTTATAACCGTCAGTCTAGATGTAAGGGTGACCTTGTATCCTGATCATCTTACCTGTGTCAGAGACTACAAAACTACCACGAAAAGTAAGACCACATCGTGGATCAACAGAGGTAATTAAAACCTCCCTTGTTGCGGATTTACAGAGTGTCCATTTTCTACTGGATCTGGACATTCATCCCAGGAACACTCAGCTTTTGTTAAGCTGAGGTCCACGTGCATCTTATTCTTTCATAAAATCTCTATTTAGAAAAAAAGTTGGTCAAATGGACAATTAACCTGTATCTTTATGATTCTCACTAAAGGCTGAAAGGACACACTGATACGTGCTACACTGTTTAGCAGCTGTTACAGGCAGGTGGGTCCTTGCTCTGGGTATTCAGAACTATCTGCTGGGAAAATACTGAGGAGCAGCTTTTCCAGGAAGAACTCAAGGAATTTTTGAAAAAGAAGCAAACTTTATTTAAAGAAAGCCATTGTTAGTCCTTATTGGAATTTAACTGGACAGCAAACGTATCAAGGGAATGACAATGTAATTTATTCAACGAACGTTTATTTCAGGCCTGGTATATGCTACACACTGGGAGAATAAAATCATGAACAAAACAGGGTCCCTATCTTTGAGTTTATACTCCAGCAGAGGTCACGATGAAAGCTATGGGAAGGTGCAGCATGGAAAGATCCAATCAAGAGGTGATGTTAGGTCTACACCAGATTCTAGTGCAGTTTCCTATACTCGGTACACATTTAAGTGCTTTAACATTAGTCAAATGACCTTTAATCTTTCATTTCCCTCTCTCCTCATAAAAATACTATATGGCATATCTTTTTAAATCAACTGTTATAAGAATTTAGCAAGAGTCCTGGAGACACCTAAGGACATCCCAGAGTATAGCCAAGTCACAGTCACAAATCAAAAGACTTAGATATTTTTAGATACCAATTGACCCCAAAGGATATCTTTAAACGCTCACTCTGACTTAGGTCCTGAATTGCTCTGCATTTCTTTTTCCTCCAACAAAAACCCACATCCCAATTTAGGTACAGGATCAATCTGAGTTTTAACTAATTACACATATAAACTTGAAATGGAAATGTGAACTGGAATATGATGTAAGAGCGAAAGTACCTTTATATTAATTTCTTAGACTGTCACAGGTGACACTAGACTGATTCTGTCATTTCACTTTGGGGGAGTCAAAAAATGCAACCTATGTGGACTGAACAGAGAACAGTGCTACTTCTGACCCGTCTGGGGTCTCCAATCTGGCAGGGCTTATTCCCAGCCTCATCAAAGTGCACAAGAAGGCCTGTCCCAGGGGCTGTTCTAAGGGTCTCCTCCCCATGACTCCTGACTGTGGCTTGTGAGTCCCCAGGCAGCAGGGTGGTAACAGGGACCTTAGAGTGCCTTTGCAGCTGCAGAGGGCCACCCTAGGGACCAGAGGCAGAGGACGGACATTTTCTTTCTTAGAAGGGTGAAGAGCTACTGAAGGAAAAGCTTCTCTACCATGTCTGTGGCCGGCCCTGACCACAGGGAAACAATCCCCGTGAGATGCTGGCAGCCCGGGTACCCCTGAGAGAGACTGCTGCCCACCCCCCCAAACAAGGGCTGCCCTGAGAGCATGAGCCAGGCTGCCCCTCAAACCCAGGAAGTGTCTGTCCTTTGTCAGGGTGACTGTTTATCTGCTCCCCCTGTGGCTCCAGTACTGCAAGAGAAAGTAAAGTCGGCCCTTCCTGGAGGCATGTGACAACTGAAGCAGAGAGAAGGCTGAGCACAGAGAACTGAAGAGCCATAAGCCTCAGACGTTGACCAGCACAGTCCTCAGTAGCGAGCGCGAAGTAGCAGCTATAGCCCCTGCAGTCACAAGCCCAGGGAGGCAGAGGGAACGTGTCAGCCACGATCCAGCCTAGTGTGAAGCCTGTCACCTGCAGAGGTGCCTAGACAACACGCAGTTGTGCCTATGTCAGGCATGCCAAGTCAAAGGACAGGCTGCTCCAGGATGCATGGAAGCGGGTAACTCCTAAAGATGCAGGAAGGAAAGTGCTATGTGTGAAAGCGTCCCCTCCACAATTCAGGTGTTGCTGACGTGACAGCATTAAGCGGTGGGGCCTTTAAGAGGTGATGAGGCCGGGAGGGAGCCTCCCTTGTGGGTGGGATCAGGTGCCTGCACAAAGGTCTCCGGCTTGCTCTCCCGCTCTTCTGCCATGTGAGGACACTGCCTTCTTCCTTCTGCAGCCCTCACCGGACAACAGAACCTGTCGGTGCCTTGATCTTGGACTTCCCAGCCTTCAGAACTAGGAGAAGATAAATCTGTCTTTTAGAAACTACCCAGTCTGGTCAGTCTGTTACAGTAGCACCAACGGAGCAAGACAGAAGGTCCCCTGGACGAAGTGCCCTCCAAGCCAAGGAGATGAAGTGAGGTCAGCCCAGTGACAGCACACAGGGCCAAGGGTGGGTGGCCAGCACTGGGCAGTGGGCATCACTGGAACGGTCGGAGAAAGGCCCTCCTAAAAAGAGCCTTTGGCAGACATGGCTGAGGGATAGTGCTGAGCTCAGTGCTACTGGAATAGAGAATGCGCAGGAGATTCAGCTAGAGGTGAGCAGTAGCCCACCTGTGCAGGGCACCGCCTGGGCTACCTCTAGGAGCCTTCATCCTGGCAGATTGGGGGAGAAAGAACAAATGCCATCCACAGTGGGTGGCGAGTTGAGGGACACTAGGTCAGGAAATAATGGTGGAAATGGGGAGCCTACTCCCCCCAAATCTGGTGGCAATGGCAGTGCTTCTGTCACAGGCAGTCGAGTGTGATGGGCGAGGGCCTGGCTTCCGAGAGCAGCCCTTGGAGTCAGATCTCGGCTCCACCACCTCCAACATGTGACCTGAGTAAGCTGCCTCATCTCTCTGCATCTTGGTTTCCTCATCCCAGAGGGCTGGCATGAGGCTTAAATCATGAACACGTTCACAGCCTGTACAACAGTGCCTGGCACACAGAATGCACATAGTAATGTTAGCTAATATTATCACCGGGAATCTTTTTCATGCTCCTTCTATGTGCAAAAGCATTTGCAGAACTGTTAAATCAACAATTGTTCCCAGTTTGTTTTTAACTTGAATTTTTCTTCGCGAAGCTGAGTGAACAACTTGTAGTGCTAACACAATATCCCTAATGCTACAAAGGTCAAACATACCTACATGTGTCGGTAGCAAGCACAATGAGCTAATAAACAAAGTATCTTTTTATTTATGCTTCAATATGGAAAGCTAACTTTAAAGTGAAACCTATTGCCCAAACCAGAGGGACATCAGCATGAGAAAGTGCAGCAAAGCCCTCTGCCCGACAGGAAATCCCCTGAGAGACTTACCAGGTCGGGCTTCTAAGCTCAAGCCCTGTCAAAGTCTGAAGTCAGGAGAGTTTGTAGGAGGAAGGATTTAATGAATAACCACACACATGGACCCTGGGGTCCAAGTTCATTTTGGGGCAGAAGGTCAAAATAAGGCAGCGCAATGATTTAAGTACAGTGTAAACAGGAGACTAATAAGATTTCTTATTTTCTTTCCTGGTAATTGATTTTAAACCTCACCGACATTGATGCCTTTTCTCGTCTTTGTTTTACAAAGGCTACAGAGAGGGGCAGGCATTTCCTAATGTGCTCTTGTCTGATGGAGGAATTTGTTTATGGCTGCCTGTGTGTTGAGGTTACCATGGTTAACATTCTTAAGTATTCTTAAGTATAACATATCACCAATTCTTTGAGAGCAAAAACTGTGCCTTGCACACAGTGGTGATCAGTTCTGGGGAACTGAGTGTAATATGAGTGAGTGACAAGGTTCATTTTGGAAAAGAAAGATGATTCTGGCCTCATTTGTCTTTTCGGTCTTTTTCTTTGGGACTCTTGCTTTGGACGGAGATATCCTTGATCAATAAGAATCAGGGACCTGACTGTGAACTCAACAGAAAGAGAAGAATAACCAGGAGGGAAAGTGTTTTCAGACATGATTCTGGAGGTAACAGCATGACATAACAACCCCTAGAAGCTTATATCATTTCTTCAGACAATAAACACGAAAGGCGATAGGCTTGGGCTGCACTTCGTAAACATTCTAAAAATGTCTTTTCACTTTGTGTTGTATTTTTACTCATAACTATGTCTAAAATGACCAACTAGCATGAGAATTACTTAAACTAAAATGTAATCAGTCAATAAGGACAATAAAGATTAAAACACTTAACCAGAGCCTACAAAGTTATAGATATGATATTAACATTTTATAATTATCTGTTGCTTTTGCTTAAGATGAATAAAAGTTTTAGTTAAAAAATTTTTTTTCACCTGTTAACATTAAAATATTCTGGATGGCTCTAAGTCCTGCTCACTCCTGTGTAAAACAATCACAAGGACTGACTTGCTCTGGTTGTCCCAATATTTGATGATAAATCATAAGTTCCTATCACAAATGGCTGCTGGTGAAACTTAACCTCTTCTTAAAAAATGAAGTCTCAAACAGTAAAATACAAGACAGATTTCTGCAAGAAGGTGAAAGAAAGAAAAGGTGGGCACCATGCCTGTTTCTGTTTAACTTGTTTTTGTTTTTTAGAGATAGGGTATCACTCTGT